ATATTTCAGACGTACATTGCTGCTCCCCTCTCGAGGGCAAACGGACTTTTTATTCTTGCATTGCACTATCATAATTATTACCATTAGAATCAGTCCAAAGATTGTAAAGGTCATGTTGAAATGGTACAAGTGTCATTCTTTCTTTTTTATTTTCTTCCTTTTTTTTTTTTTTTCCTTTTCAAGGAGTACTTCATATTAGCACCGTATGGCATAACGCACGTATTATAAAGGCAGCTCCTGCCAATTTCATGTAAAAACAAAAAAAGAAAAGAAAGGAAAGAAGCCCTCGTCATGAAAATCTTCTACATAATGTTCCTTTTGCCCATAATTAGCTATAAATGGATCGTTTGTTTTTTTTAGAATGAAATATTCTGCTAATCACAATGCGCATGAGTACTCAGCGTACCGGCCCGCGCTGTCGTGTTCTTCTCTAGTACGTTAGTTAAAGTACTTTGAGAATGAACAAATTCATACCTTAAATAATTCTCACCCTCTAACTAAGCAAATGTAGTTGTCACACGAGGAGGATTATATAATGCCTATGTTGTTAATTTATCTCCCTGTCGACCCCTCAGAATTGACAGTTACATTATGCCATGAACAGATTACAATGCCATTTTTTTATTGCATCGCATCGTGGATACTCCAGGAATTATGTTTCAGGTAAATACTTTCCTTCATACAAAATAACCTCAGAAATCAGAACCTAACCATATATACACCAATATCATGAGAGAAGAGGAAAACAATCATGTAAAACATGTAAAATAGCTGCATGTTTACTGAACTCCTTGCTGTATTGGTCTGCCCAAGGCAGCACTTATTATTTATAAAGATGTCAATGAGGTCCACCTTAAGAAGGCTCTGAATGTATACGCGATGGGGTTCCGCTGTATTCCTGTTCTATTCCAAGAGGCGCACAGATAGTGAAACACCAGAGGACAGCCGTTGTGCCTTAATACTTTTCGTGTATTCAAGTTGTGGGACAGATAGTGAGGTTCGTAACAATATGTTTCCGCATTGACCCACTCAGCAATCCTCTTAGAACAGCCTTTTGTCTTTTTTTATTTTAAGCAGACTAATCCCTTACAAGATTGCTAGAACGTCACGTAAGTATTTCATCCGAATTCCGCAACATCACCTTGTTATGGAAACGTATACAGATAAATGTAGAAGGATATACTATATTCCCCCTGAATTCGAAGCATTCTTAAAGGTATAATAATCCCCATTTTGTAGAACAAATATCTTAATGATGGCACAGGGAATATCTCTTTATAGCATAATTCAGCTCTATCTGGAAAAACTATAAATGTATGGGACGATGACAAGTATGTATTAGGAAACTTTTGCCCACAACGGAACTTCGCACTATGAGCCTCTTCAATTAATACCCTTCATGGCGGTATACATTTCACATAATTATTTTGGAGTCCTCTTATATTCGCTGTGTCTTAGGTATGCTCAAAGTTTGTCCTTCTCTTTGCTCATATTCCTTTCCAGCTGTTATTCATTCCTCATTGTAATTCATTTGTGCACAGAATGATCACGATTCGCGGACACGAACCAGAATCAACGGAGTGGGATGTGCGCTTACATCCACTCCTGAACTCTGGAAAAATTTCTTTCACACTCTGCTGGGACTCATTTATCACACAACAGTGTGACTCATAATTCAGAATAAAAATTTATTGACAAGACGGTTACAGGCCTCCGCATCGTGTTATATATTAATTGTGTGCTCTAAATAAAGAAAATGCGTGTTCCCTTTCCTTGGCTTATTTTTTAGTTAATTTGCAAAAAACAAAAGAGAAATGGAGCTGTTCTGTATAAACATTTCTATTTTCTCTTCTGTTAACTCCTTGTAAATAAGCTATACGATAGAGGACAAACCATTCTGGCCCTAATTGCGGAATGTTCCCCAATAGCATTCATAATTAGACTTCCCACATAAAAGAAGGAAATCATGACATCTTTATTGTATGAAATCAGTATTTCTCGTATAATGATTTTTGTTTCTTTGTCTTCCCTGTTGCTAGAAGAATGTTACTTAAGATGAAAAAGGAATAAATCTATAATGATGAGACGAAGCCTTATTAAAAAAATAAAGAAAAG